ACATAAATAAGAACATTGATGTTGATTATCAGTAATGAAATGAGCATGAAATTTTGGTTGCATTAATAGTACATTACCAGTTGATGTAACAAGACCAAGAAATTGATTTCCTATTGAATTTGTATCATTGAAAAAAAGTGTTGTAGAATATGATGATCGAATACATAAGACAGCTAAACGACCAGATGGATAACTATATTAACAAGAATGTTTATTAAATGATATTTAATTTTAATTGAGCTATTTTGTATGACTTACTATATCTGACATGAACCATCTACTAATTCGAGATAAGATTTATGTTTTGTTTCAGGTATATCAATATTAATATTGTATTTTTCTGGAATTTCATGTCGTAAAATTGCGAGTGCAAATTTGGATTTTGATCGTCCTATAAGAACAAAAAATGAAATTGAAATATTGTTTTTTTTTCTTACGACTAAAAATAACTAACGATTGTATTCATTTAATGAAAAAAACTTATTTTTATTTCGATTATGTTGATTATCTTCATAAAACCAAATATGACATAGTTTTTGATGTTTTATATCTTGATGATTAGTTGTTGCAAGTCTATTTATCAAAAAAAGGAAAAAGAAATATATTTAATCAATAATGAAAACAGAAGAAAATTTAAAATCGAACATTTTTTGTTTTGTTTCAGCTAACAAACGTTTACATCTGTTTTGAGTTAAAGCAATTATATCTTCATCAAAATTGTTCTGAAGTTTTGGTACATCGAATAACGCAACTAATAGAACGAGAAAATATATAAATAATAACAACAACAAAAAATAAGAAAAGAATTTTTATTTACTGTTTTGTTCATCTAATTGATATGTTTCATTCATTTGTGTTGATAATTTAAATTCAACATGTATACCATTTTTAATTGATTCAATTACATTTTCTGAAACTCCCTGATTAGTTGTTTTAAATGAACGTTGATTATCTTGTGATGCATTACTTGCACTTACAGATGCACGTGATAATGATCGATTACACCGTATTTTTGAATTTGTTTTCAAGGATTGTCGATGAGAGAGATTTGTTAATGATAAAGGATTTACACGTGAACTTGTTTGAGGACGAAATATCAATTTATTATCAGTGATGCTTTGTTGTTTTTTACGAACTATTGGTTGTGAATGTTTTCGTTGAACATATTGATGCCATGCTTCTTTACCAGCTTTTGTATGCCACATCTATACATATGATAGAAAGAAAAAAAAAGAAGTTTTTTCTTATTGAATTAAGGAAAAAGAACTGATTTTACTTTGTATTCATATTCTGTATTTTGAATTAGATCAGACCATGTTGAATTTAATTGAGCAATTAATAAACTGGGTAAAGATACTTTAGGTAAATTTGTTGTTGAATTAATTAATTCATCTTCATGATTGATATGCTGCTCACTAGCAATAATTGAAGTTTGACGAGATTTTGATGGAATAGATGATAATGAAGTTGTTCTAGTAGATTTATTATCGAAAATTTGTATATTTCTATCTAATTCATCGATTAAAATTTCAGGTATAATCGGTGTTTTTGATTTACGTATCATTGTTTTTAAAATAGTATCACTAGTTGTTTGATTTGTTTGTTTTTTAAGTATAGTAGATATATCAGTTTCTGTTTTGTCTGAATACTCATCCGCAATCGATAATGCTATTTTAGCATGATATAAAGCTTGATTTAATTCTTTTGAATCTCGTTTAGATCGATAAATACCACCAATATGTGATGCATGTGAATATTGATCGAAAAAATAAAACTCAGAAGTCATTTTTTTATATCTAAAACTTAGAGAATGAATTCAAGTTCAAAAAATACACAAAAAGAAAAAAATAAATAATTCGTATTATACATTCAAATCAATATTATTTCTTATTTAATAATCTAAAGTACAGAATTTAGAAGAACTTTTTGTCCAGTGTTTAAACCTAAAGTACCAAAATTTGATGTATCTGTATTTGTATTTGTTATAGTTTGAAGTTGTGTTGGTGATGAACCTAATATATTATGACCAAGTAATGTATAATCAGTAAGAAGATTTCCACTTTCCATTGCTTGTGCTTCAATTTTAGTAATAACAATATTATGTTTATTAACTTCATTTGTCATTATTTCAGTCATTTGTAATAAATGATCTAAATATGTATTTAATTGTGTAAAATTAATTGCCATATCAATTTCATTCATTAAACGATCAGGTTGATCAATATATCCATAAGTTAATGAATGATGTTGTAGAAGATAATCACGTGTTTTATTTAATTTTCGATCATTTATTTCTGTTTCTTTACGTTTAATATCTTTTAATTGATTAATTATATTAATAAAATCAGTATGTTCTCGTCGTTCACGTGCTAAAGCACGTGTTCTACCAATCATTTCTTCATGTTCTGTTGTTGAACTCTATTTTTTTTTTTTATAAAACTAGATAAGTTTGTTTTTTTTTAAACTCATTTTTAAATAATTCATTTACCCAACGAATTTGATTAAATGGAACAATATTTTGTTCACTTGTTTTTATTAATTGATGTTCATATGGTTTTCTTCGATGATTTTTTTTCTTTTTCTTTTTCTTTTTCTTTTTATTTAAACATCCAAAACATGTAAAACCAAAAAATGTTCCATTTGCACAAGCACCAAAACATTTTCCACCATTAACTTCATTTAAATCTTCTGCTATATCTTTAATTTCTTTTTGTAATTTATTTATTAAACCATAAGATTGTTGCATTGAATCTCCTTGCATAATTAATTTTCCTAATGTTTCTTTTGCCATTAATTCAGTAAAATGTAATTGATTAACAATATTTTCTGTTGCTTGAACATCTTCATCTAATAAACGTTCTTTACGATTTCGAATAAGACTATTACGAAAACGATTGATTATATCTGTTGTTTGTTCAACAATTGAATTTCCACCACCACCATCGAACGTTCCTGTCAATGTACGAGAACTGTCTCTCATTTTATTGGAATGAACAAGCAAATCGTTCGATTAAAAAAAAAAAAAGAAGAAAACAAATATTAAATACAAAACAAGTTGGAGACGCGCCTCGAGAAAAATTAAAACGAGAAGTAGAAAGAAAAATCTATATCATGATAGTTGTGTTATTGTAACAAGAAAATAAATATTGGTTCTCTCGGAAACACAATTTGAAACAGTTATTAAGTGTTGAATGCGTTCTCCAAGGTGACGACAAAGAGAAAAACAGACGTTTCAATGTGTGTTCTTTGACTTGATAAATAACAAAAGCATTTTTCAGAATGAAAAATTCTATTCAATGAGAAATATCATTTCTTACGCAAATAATTTAATAGTCCAGAACGATGTATATCAAATGCATAGACGCTCTCCATTTCGCCATATAGAGTAGTAGTTTGGCATATTATATGATTTCATATTACGATCGTATTTCTTCATATTGTATACGGAGCAATACGATCGTTTACGATAAAATACAGAGTAAAATGGAAGTCATATATGGACTCAATAAACGATCGTATTTCTTCTTATACAATAGACAGAGTTTTGATCGTTAATGAGCGTGTTATTGTCCGATTTGAGAGTTGGAAACTTTGTTTTCAAAATATTCAAGGCGTAAAACCTAATATATTCGACATTTCTTTAACATAAAATAGGTTTTGTTGAAAAAGAAAACAAAAATCGAATGTATATTTAAAGGTATTGAAAATATTATTTCAAGTTGAATTTTAATTTCATTTCATCTGTTGACTTATTCAATAATAAAATGATTTTTTTCTTCTTCTGGTACTTCTTTTCATAGCATGTCAGAAAGTAACATGACAGAAGTTATTTTTACTAAAGGGTGCTCTCATCTTAAATGCAGAATTCTCAAGGGCCAAACAAACATTCATTTTATTACGATTTTCATATTTAAATATACATATATATATATTAAAATGAAAAAATTATTGACAGAATAAACAAGAAAAAGAATATTGATTCTATGTAGTTAGAACTTTATTTAAATCGTTGAGATTGAAAATAAACAAGGAGGAACAGTGAAGAGAGAAAGACTTGAAAGAAAGAATGATGACTATCAAACAATATTATTACAAATGTTAATCGGTACAAACATATTTGGCATCATCAATTTTTATTGAATGAACATTGAAACATTATTTAAGATTTATTTATTAAATAATATATTATTATTCGTTAATATTTATTTAATAAAAATGATTAAATTATGAAACTACATGAACAATGAAAATTTAAAGAAACGTATATTTCTATTAATGACAAAATGCATGTGAATCGTATTTTTGATGGATACTTCTATAGGTAGTCAACTGGAAGAAACATAAGGTTCTTAGATTTTTTTCGTCAATAGAATTTGTTGCGATAATCATTTTGACAAGAGCAATACGTGAATCTACTCAATAAATCATGGTGTTAGGGTCAAAATACTCAAAAATGTTAACTACCGCTCAGCAGCGGTCAGGAATCGTCAAAGTTCTTGAGTGTTTTGATTCTAGCATTATAATTTATTGAGCGAATTTGAATATTTTTTTACGAGTACAAGTAGCACAACGAACTGTACCAAGATCTAGAGACGAAAAAAATTTTCTGAGAACCTCGTATTTTTTTTTGCAGTTAATCACTCATGGGAATATCCTTTCAAAATACGATTAGCTAGCATTTTCTCGTTGGTAAATAGATGGATTCGTTTTGTTTTAATTAACACTAATTAGCGTAAAGTTAAACCAGTTTACCTTAACTGTTTATAGGAACAGTTTAAATGAAACTTTAGTATAATTTACTAGTTCATGAACCCATGCTTTTTTATTTATGACTTGTATATTTGCTTTTAAAAAAGTGATAATGAATTGTGTATGATTTTTATTGTAAAAAAAAATAAAACAACAAAACTAAATTCAGAAGATATCTTTATGTACAAATTTTCATAAGAAAATACATAAGTTAAGTCATTAGAAATTTTTTTCGAAGAGAAGAAAAATGATTATTTTAAAGTATTAATTTCAGCACAAAATTTATAAAGTGGACATTCTGTTTGTGTCCATTTGATTTTACAAGATTTGTTCGATTGATTAATTTTAGAAACTAACATATTATGATAAGTGATAAATTTCTTTTGTATATCAACAGTATTGATTTGTTTTGATAATCTAATTGAAATATTAATTTTTTCTATTTGTTCAATAATTGACCACCAATTATTAATTAAATTTTCTAATAAAATTTCATCTTCAATATCAACATAAATATTCAAAGAGAAATATTTTATAATTGACATTATCGATTGTAATTGTTCAAAAAAAACTATTGTAACTCGATTAGACTTGCATTTAAGTTTAATCATTGGAATTTTTTCAAGAATAAAAATTTGATTAACTATCCATGAGATCAAAGTCTTAAATGTCTGTGTTGATCCAAACATTTCGAGTCTTTTTAATTTTGGCATATGATCGAAAAATGTCTCCGTGATCGAATGAATATCAATAGAGATATTTGTTAAGTAAAGGACTTCGATATTACTTTGTCTAACGAAGGAACATTCAATATTTCTCATAACATGAGAATTTATTAATTCACATATGTGAAGACAAGGTATTGTAAATATAGTCTCAATTAATAATGTATGTATAGTTACAGATTTCACGGAAAGATATTCAAGTGAATTGAGTTCTGAAAAAATTTTACAAATAAGAGATGTTTGTCGAGGATGTATTTCAATTCTTAAAGCACGTAATCGAGTAAATTCTGAAATATTTTTATTAAAAAATTGAAGTAAATAACCATATCGAGGTTTAGCAATCCATTGTAATGATATTATACGATTAAATATTTCAGTAGAACTACAATATGTAATCGAAATAAATCTTGAATGATCATCATTTTTATTAAATTGAACATTGTATAAAAGATGACGAGAAGAAATTAATTCATCAAAATAATTATTTAAATTAATAAAAGCACGAAAGAGATCATGTGCTTCCAAATAAGAAAATATTGAAAACCAGAGTTCATTTGGTAAATGTTCAATATGTGTTACCATGGTCTTTTTTTTTTAGATAAATTTGGCATATACTTACACAATAGTGATGTAACACAAAACAGGATGAAAAAAAACACATGTCTTCGGTTGATATATATATTTTGTTTTTCAATTTTTATTTTTTGGAATTTAAACGAATAAACTATGGAACAATACTTTTAAAAGAAACAAGAAACCAATCAGCTTGCATTAAAAAAAATCTCGAATTTTGACAAGCAAATTATACGCAACCTGGGACAATGGTTAAAGCCAATTTTATTTTTCGCCATTTTTATGTTAAGATATGCGATTCAAATGGAACGTAAGATTTCGAAGAGATTAAAATACGAATTCAAAAAACAAATGTTTTTTTTTGGTGCTTGTTCACTTTAAACATATTCCATACACTAATCCGCGTATTTAACGCTCACACATCAAAGAGTGCGGGTGAGAGCATATGTCGAAAGTGAACAAGTACCTCTCAAATACTCTTATAAAGTAGCATTTTAAGGTTTAATACACAACATAAGTTCTTTTTCAAAGTACAAAAAACAATATGTAGGACTGTGTCTTGAATTTCTTCTATTCTGTTTCATTATTGTAGACTTCATATTTTTCAAGGCTATTTCTCTTCGTTTATGAATCTTTTTTCTTAACACATCTGGAGAACCAAGAGTAATGGGCATATTTCTGTAAAAAGGAATTGTTTCTCCCTTATCAAAAACTTTGATGAAAAGTAGATTAAGTGAGCCAATCCAGTTTTAGGATTTTCAAGGACATTAGACTTGAACTTATTGAACCTAGTTTGTTAAAAATGCTCAAGAAAATGTTTATAAAAGAAGAGAAATAGACTTGGATGATATGAAGTTTGCAATAGTAAAATAAAATAGAAAAAAATTCAAGACACAGTCCTACATATTGATTTTGGCACTTTGAAAAATGAACTTTTGCTGTGTATTAAATCTGAAAATGTTATTGTACAACAATATTCGAGAACTTGGTATCATTAAATAAAAACTTTGAACTGTTTTCTACCATCAGTACAACAACCAATTCATTTAGTAGAATCATGGTGATGCAAAGTTTTATTTATAGTTAATGACTTTTCGGACGCTTTGTCTATTTACTATTAAGATAATAACATTTTAGAACAGTTATTCAATTAAAGTAAAGGTTTGAAAATTTTAATGAAAAATAATTATAATCCAAATAAAATTTAATTGTATGTAATTCTGAAAGTATGAATATTGCTTTGATGAAAAACGAAGCTATATCAGAAATTTTGAGTTAATTTTTCCTTTCTTTGCCTCTGAAATATATTCTAATAGAGTTGAGCCTTGTATTGTAATTTAATTATCCTCTTTTTTTTTAAATTTTTTACTGTATGTTCTGTTACATAAAAGGATTCAATCAAAAAATAATTTATAACAAGTCGCATTTGCTCATTCTAACTGCAGATGTGAGAAATGAGTTTATTCATCATGCAGCCTACCAACAAGACTCGCTGAATCTAGATGTACACTTTTTTTCTTTTAGATACTTTTTTCTTGTTGATTTACATTCATCTTGTAAACAAGCAAACGATGATTTTAACTTTTACAGTAAATTTATTTTTTTCTTTTAAATTTTTTTTCACGAAAAATTCAATGTTAAGCTGGGTTTCTATAAACACATTATCTTCTTTCTTGAAACTCATGCCAATGAAGAAATAGACGGTGAATCTTTTCCAGTGATAATAGTGAACAAATTCTAGAGAAAAGAATGTGTCGCTTTTTTTTTAAATTAAAGACAAGTCTTAAATGATCACAATTATAAACAAGATCGTAGTGATTAGATCCAAGCTATTGTGGGGCTTGCTCTCTTTTGGAAGGGAACAATTACATTATTTTTTTGAGTGAAGCTCTCCTAGAAAAGCTTTGAAAGTTTTATTTTTCATGGACCGTTCTTTTGTGTTGGTAGAATTATTCTTTGAAGCAGCAGGAAAAGTTCGAGATAAAACTAGATTATGCTAGAACCTTAAAAGATTTAGAAAATGTTACTTAAATCCACAACCGTAACAGGTTGAGCATAACATCTTCTTTTTAAAGAGCATCGGGTAGTTCATGGATTGTCATTTGTTGACCAGTATATTGAGTGATTTCAATGGTGTTGATTGATTCATACCATTGACATGTACTTGTTGTGACAGTTCTGGACTTAGTTCGAGGTATTTGATCTGGAGATAAGGTCACATTATGATGATGAGAACGGTTGCTCTTGTTTTTTTGGATATTGCATATAGATTACATGAACTTCGACATTTCCACCAGAGTCATTTCGAATCGTACAGCTTTCTACATGATGTGGAGTCTCCACATCATCTTCTGAAATTATAATTGTATATGATTAATTTTGTTTGTTTATAAAAAGAAGAAATCGATGAATATAAATGAGCGACTGGTAGAAGTAGCTAGCTATTGAATGATGCAGGCTACAAAAAGAAAAAAACGAAATACTTCGAGCGAGACACCTCGAAAAAGAGAGAACGGAGGAAGCATAAATATCAATTATCGTCAGTTTAAAAAAGTGAGTATCTTTACTATTGACAAACCACGTATATTTACTTAATGATAATGCTAGTAATTTGAGTTCATTCATGATTTTACTATTTTCTCTCTAAAGGAAGATGTGTACACTTTTGCTATGTTCAACATACTATTTTCAAACACAAATGAAAAAGAGTTAGAATTGTATATAAACTATTTTTTTTTCTTTTTTTTGTCTATAGTAATGTTAATAATCACTTCAGTGCAAGTAGAAGAAAAATATGTTTTTATCGCATTGAAGTGATTTTTTGACATTACTGCAGGAAGAAAAAAAGAAAAGAGAATATTTTATATAAAATGCCGACTTGTTTTCAGCAGACTGTCACGCTCGAAGTATTTTTTTTTCTTTCTGTAGTCTGCGTCACTCCATAATCAGATACTTCTATCAGTCACTCATTTATTTGCATTGGTCACTTCCTTTTACAAGCAAACGAAATTAACTACATACAATTATAATGTCCAAAAGTAGTGTGGCGGCTCCATGTAATGTTAGAGGCTGTACGATTCAAAATAATTCAGATGGGAATGCAGAAGTTCACGTAACCTATAAGCAATATCCAAATGAAGAAAATAGCAACCGTCCTCCTCATCATACTGTGACCTTATCCCCAGGTCAAGCACATCGAGCTGAACCCAGAACTGTCACAGCAGGTGGATGTGAGATGTATGGACCAGTTGAAGCCATTGAAGTCACTCAATATACTGGCCAACGGATAACAATTCACGAACCATTCGATGATGTAAACGAAATAGAAACAGACTGGCTTTTTATCATTGACGATTATGGCATTCATTCAGCAGGCAGAAACAGTTAGTACGACGAATCCAGTAATTTTTTAATGAACTTTCGGCCATAAACATCTTCGTGATCGTATAACAATATTCATTAATCGATAGTCGAGTTTATTTTTAACTAACCTTCTGAAAATGTCTTCCTACTGGCACTAACAGATAATTTTAGAACATATAGTCTCATTCCTTTAAAATAAAAACAATAGCTTTGCTCATCATCTGGTTTTGGTGGAGATCGATTGTGATCGGTGATATAGAAAACTATTTTCGAATTCATGATGATTATTACTCGTAGTTTTAGATGGTTCAGTGAAGAAGTTGTTTATTCGTGAACAGTGTATTCGTCTTGATTTTAACTTTTTGAAAAAGTGACAATCGAAGAATGATATTCCGAAATTCTTCTGATTCACAACAGGAACTGTAATTTGTCGTCATCTGTTGAATATGCAACATGTCAATGTAGGTTAGGATGACGAGTCCATCTCTCAAAAATTGATTTTAGACAAGTATATTCAAATCGTATGGAATTTTCAGCATACGTCAGGACTATAGTCCAGAGGCTATGTTGAAAGTTTCAGCCTTGTGCCTTGACGTTTTCGGAAGAAATTCAAGAAACAAATGTTAACAATAGCTTATTTAGTAACCCAAAGTTCTTTGTAGGCATACATTCTATATATTTAATTTTGTTTTGTTTGAAAGAATGTGTCAAGATATAGAGCATGATAATGCCCTCCTATTTAAAGTCGTACATTTTAAAAGGAGTGCACGAACGAAAAGTTCAACATCTCGAAAATCTCCGAAAAATTCGTGGTCGCGTTATAAAAGCACTCTTATAAAAATACTGACAAAGCTCAATTTAAAAAAAAGGAATCTTTCAAAAAAGAAACAACGAATAATATTTCCAGTTTTTTATGACAATAGTATATTTTTCAAACAGATGATAACAGAAACCACTTAAAAATTATAGCAATAAAGGAGATAGCAAATAAAAAATGATCTCATTTATACAACGGCAGATCTCGGCCTATCTTCTCATGAATTTATGTTAATTTTCACTGTGTTTTTGATGGAAATTGGCTTTTTCAGGGTGAGGACGGCTTTAAAACATGGAATTCGATTTCCAAAAATGTGGTCTGCATCATTCTCAAGAGCAATTACGGAGCAGCTTCGATCAATAGAAGATCCGATTGTGAGCAAGTTTGTTCTTGTATGTGTGTAAACTGTTGTTAGTCGTTTTGGGATCTGTTCTAAACGAAAAGATTATTCGACTAGAAAAGAATTGAAAAGCTTATTCTGTGAGGAAAGATATGAAGGCAAAGTTTAGTTCAAAGATGATTAGCAATTTGTCGCGCCAAAGACTGACCGATGATGAAATAGACTTTCTGGCAAAAGGTCTTTATTATTGTTTGTTGTCGAAGTGTGTAGATGAGGTGAATATCAACAGCAATATCAACCAATTTTTCAACAATGTCATCAATATATTCTAACACCACACGTTATTGATATCCGATTCGAAAGAAAAGAAAAACATGTTTTCACATGAACTTTGGATTCTCAGTAGCAAAGAAATGAAATTTGCTTCGACTTGAGAATCTCTCGTGGACGCTTTCCGAAGTGTCGCGAATTGATGAAAAACTTGAGAAA